GGGAAGAATGAAGTCCCTGACCTTATGGAGCTCACATTCTGGTATACTCTTTCCTCCTCTTTGGTCCTTATGTCACCTGCTCGAGGACGTCTTCCCTCTAACTGCAGTCCCCTCCAGCCTATTGTTTATTTCCTTGACAGCGCTTAGCGACGTTTGTCCTCGTATCTGACTTATCGATGTCTGTCTCCAGAGAACACAGGCCGTGTCTGTCCCGTTTGTCCCGTTTCTCAGTGCTCAGCATGGGGCCAGGCACACGGCGAGCACCCAGGAAACGTTTGCTGAATGAACGAATATCAAAGGGGCCGATGACCCACCTGGCAGATGAGGCCAGGCCACTGACAACTGGGGGTTTCGTCAACCCCCCTGCTCAACCTTGTCCCCAGTCTCCTTGCATGAGTCCCCTGCAGCCTTTTCCTTGCTCCTAGTTCCTCCTGGAGACTGCTCAGCCTCTCCCCCTCTCCACCCAGTGCCCCTTCCCTGTGTGTACCCCCCAATCCCACCCCTGCAGAAACCCTTTACCTTCAATCTCCTCTGGCCGCAGCTCCCGGTCCTGAGGGGGTACAGAGGGGTTAGAAATTCCCTGAACCCTTTCCTTCTTGTTCTTTGGGGCTCCCCACTCAGCCCCCCATAACACGCACACACAGGGCCTGTCTCTGACACTGCTCAGACCCAGCTCCTCGCATCCATCCCTGCTGACTGGCATGGGGTCTTGGGTCGCCCCCTTCCCTGCCACCTGCCCAGGCCTCGACCAGGGCCTCCCCCACCCCCCACCACCCTCTTCTAGGGCATGGAGCCTCACTGGCCAGAGGTGCACCTGAGGTTGGACAGAACCTCAGGCTTGGCCCTGGGGTCCTCAAAGTCACTGTCTCTTGTTTTCTCTGTCCCTCTCCTGGGGACCCTGCCACCTCCCTGCCCATCTCCTGGGTAGCTGTCTCTGACATTTTTCTGGGTCTCTCTGCCCCTCACCCCCCTGGATCTGTGTGCCTTTGCTCTGGCCTCCCCACTCAATCCTTGCTCCCCTACGTAAGGAGAGGCAAAGCGAGGGGGCGGCGGGCAGGCGGCTGTACATACGAGCTGGGTGGCGGCGATGCTGGGCCGCAGGAAGATGCAGGCGGGCCCCACCAGGCTGCTGAGCACCGAGTAGCCCTGGATGCCTGGCCTGGGGTCCCCATGCTCCTTGGGGCTGAGGCTGGGGCCCAGGCTGTGGTGGGAGTCCCCTGTGGGGGAGCCAGGCCACTGCCAGCTGTCCTGTAGCAGAGCCAGCCATGAGCTGAGGCAGTGGCCGCTCTCTACTCCCATTTAGCAGCCTCTCCTGTCTTTGGCACCCAGCACGGGAGAATGGGGCCCTCACCGACTACCACTCTGGGCTGGAAGATTCCAGCCCTTACTGTTCAGCTGGGCAAATTGAGGCCCAGAAAAGGCAAGGGACTTAGCCAAGGTCACTCAGAAAGCCAGTGGCAGAATGAGACCTTGAGCTCAAGCTCTGTGTCCCCCAGGTCAGAGTTGATTAGCAGAGAGCAGAAATGGGCAGCTGGGGGGGCCTGATGAGCTTGGCAGGGGAGGCCCAGCGGTCCACAGGAGCCAAGACCAGGGGGAACCGGAGTCTAAGGGCTTCTGGGTAAAACCTCGATCTAGGGCAGTGAGAATCAACCCCTCCATCCCTCTTCTGTGCCTGCATTTAACTCTCACACGAGATTCTGCCCACCCACTCGACCCTTCCAGGGTTCAGCCCAGGCGCCTGGCCTCGGCCTCTCCCCGTTAGCCCTCCTACCTTAGGCCCCCGGTGTCGGGGCCGCTTGGCACAGTTTCCCATGGGCCCCAGAACCATGCCAGGCCTGCAGTTCCAGGGACGGCCCGGGGCTGGGCCCCAGCGGGCGCTATGGGCTCCCGCCAGCCCCCAGCCGCTCCCAGTGAGAGTCTGGGAGCACTGCAGGGGATTTTCCTAGGGTTTTGTGGGGAAGATCGGGGGCGGGTGGGCAGGCGGGGAGCCCTGGGCACGGGGGCTTGGGTCCTAATCCGGGATTATCTCCGAGCATCTCTGCTGGTGAGGGAGGCCACTCGGGCCCGAGGCCCCCTGGAATGCCCAGCCTCCAGTGCTCACTCTTGAGGGTCTTCTAGACACCCCCTCTCCAACATCTCTCTCTCCCCAACCCCTACTCCTAATCTCTCCCAATCTGGAGAGATTTAATGTCTTCAGAAGGAGGGCCGGACCTGGGAGGAGGAAGCCAGGTGCCCAGCGTGCCAGGGCGAGCCAGAGCATCTCTCCCGTCAGAATGGCAGGTGATGGTATGAACTCCGCAGATACCACGCCCCCCCCAACTTCCTGTCCTGAGAGAGGAGGCAACCTCGTCCCAGCCCAGGAAGCCCCTGTTCCTTCCTGCCAGGACCCTGGCTCTCAATTCAGAGCCCCTGCCCAGCCTGCCTGCCCTTGGCACCTCTTGGACCAGCCCCTGACGCCTGTACTTGGACAGATTGTAGGGAGCCGACCTGTGGTAGCACGGGCTGACCTAAAGTCTTCCTGAGGGCAAAGGTGGGGAGGAATGCCAGCTGACCGATCCGCTTACCTCTCTATCCACATGCATGTCCGGGCTTTTCTCCCTGGGCTTGGCCCTGGGTCTGTCCTATAGGGCCCCAGTTGGGGTGTGGGGTCCCCGTTGCTCCCTCATGGTCCCCTCAGTTGAGGACAGCCCCATACCCCTGCTCACTTTACCTGCCCGTAGGCCGCCTGCACCTGGGCCTCGAGCTCCTGCAGGAGCACCCGCCGCCTGGTGGCTGCTGGGTTGGCAGCGGCTCCACTGGGCCCTGCAGTGCCCTCAGAGAGCTTGGGGTCTCCTGTGGGGAGGCTGTCACCTGCTGGGCCCTGGGGAAGGGCCATGGAGACGAGGGTTTGGCACCTCCTGCTGGCTGGGGGACACGGCCCCACTCCAGTCTCCCCGGTCCTGTGGGTGGGTTGATTAGTGAGCAGCTGTGGGTGTGGTCCCCAGAGGTCCCTGAGACTCTCTTCCTTGTTCCTCGCTCCGCTCCATGGGTGGATAGGGCCCCAGACCCCCCAAGTCTCAGATCTCTCCTAGCTTACCATGCCCCTCACACAGCCCCTCCCCGCAAGTCCTAGCCTTCTGCTCATCCCCCACCCTCCAACCTTCATGCTGGCCACAGACTGCACCCAGGGCTCCACAGGACCACCTGCGCAGCCACCAGCCTCTCTGGCTCCTGGTTTTTAATCTCCCCACAATCCTTTCTCCTCCGTTTCTGTCCTGCTCTCTGGCCCTCTGGCCCACTGCTCTGTGTGACATTTCCTACAGTTCCTTTTTCCACCTCTATCCACTGCTGACATTTGTGTAGAGGTGTCTGTGGGGCTCTCTGACCACTCAGCTCATCTCTCTGTCACTTCCCTCTCTCTGTCGCTTGGGGCTCTGTCTTACATTGGTCTGTCTATCTGTCTTTCTGTCTGTTCATCTTTGTTCTTCAATTCTCCCCACTACCCCGCTCCCAGGACGACTCCCGGATTCTGGAAAGACAGGTCTCCCCAGCCCCACCCCAGACCTTCCCACTTCACCCACCACAGGGTACCTGTGCTTCCTCACCTCCCCGCTCCTGCTGGCACCGCCCCCTAGCTTCTGCTGACCTCCGACCTCCTGCTTCTCAGGGAAAAGGGTGGGGCGGGCCAGGCAGTCCCCTCTTGTTGTGTCCCCAACCCACTTACCACCTAGCTGCCTGCTCCTCACCTCCCAGAATGAGGTCAGTTGTCCTGCCCCGGCCCTACTCCAGGCCTCTCATGATTTATTCACCTGCCCCCCGCACCAGCTTTTGTCCGAGGGAACCAGATCCTGCCAGACACCTGCCACCTGAGCTGCTGGCTCTGGCCTCTCTCGCCATGTGTGGCCATCCATTCATGTGTCCCTTTTGCAAATATCTGAGGCTGGCTGGGACCCAGATCCAGGCCAGCTTTTGGGGCCGCAGGACAGACACCACTCTGCCCAAAGGCCCAGCTCTCAGTCATATCTAACACAGAAAAGGGCCAGCAGACAACTTCCAAGTGCTTGGGACACCCAGCCAGGCATGGGGGGGTGGGCTTCATGGAAGAGGTGAGGGGGTGGGCAACATTCTCGGCATCGCCCACCCATGCTTAACCTGGGTCAGTGCTGGGGTCCCCGGTGGCGACCAGCTGTGACCCTGGAGGGCTCCAGGTGTTGGAATTGACAGAGCATGTTGGGTGGAGGCTGTTGGGAGGAAGGCAGGGTGAGTAGCCACTGGAGAGGGTATGGCTGGCAATTAGTTGAAGAAAATTTTAGAGGGGCTGAATTTTCAGCAAATGTTTGTGGAGCACCTGCTGTACGCCCTCCTGGATGCTGGGACCCAATTCCTGCCTCCTAGAACCTTCTGCCTGGCGGGAGATGTGCCTTCAACAAGCCCAGAATGACGGCGGAGGAGCCACTGCAGGAAGGGCCCAGCAGGCTGCTGTGACTGAGGGGCTTGGAAGTGAGGTGTGAGCCAAGACCAGAGGGGTGAAGAGAGGGGTGGCTATGCAGGCCGAGGGAACAGCCACCACCCAGCCCTGACAGCCTGAGGATCTGGGGAAAGCCCAGGCTTGTGAAGCGCGTGGACATTGGCTGGGTGGTCAAGGGCCAGAGGGGCGTGTTGTGACCATTCACGCTGACTATCTGAAGGCTTGGCCTCTGGCATCCTTCAGCTCCTCTGCACCCTGGGTTTCATCTCCTTACAGAGGCCAGGAGTGCACTGCATTCCAGGCAGCACTGCGAACATCCCTCAGAGACAGGAGCTCTCCCATTTTATGCAAGGTCTTGAAAAGCACCTGCAGGCCTGGGTTTCCCCCAAGCCCTCGCCATGTGACTCAGGCAAGGTGTTTCAGCTCTCTGAGCCTTCGTTTTCTCATCTAGAAAATGGGGTTTGACTTAGTACCTGCCTCACGGTGCCTTTGTGAGAATTAAATGGCAAAGGACCTAGCAGGTTGGTGAGGACACCAGAAGGGCTCAAAAAAATGGTGTATGCCACATGTGATAAATGACTTCATGTCCAAATAGCCCCCTAAGAAGGTGGGAAGTGGTGAGAAATGTGTGTCCCAAAGTACAAGCCAAAGTAGTGGGGCTGCAGAGGGTCAGGGTACAGTGAGTGAAGTGTTTTTAATCAAGGAGCAAAGCCTTTGTGTCTAGGTGAAGAAAGCCTGGCTTAGAAATCCTTCCTGGCTCTTATTCAATGAACAGCATTCAGGGCGTTCATCTTGGTGCTTTTGACTTGCATGTTTCGACTTAGCCAAGCTGAGGTCCCAGGTCTAGTGTCCAGGATGTCCAGATGGATCAGTGGTTGACATATAGGTGGATGGGTGGACAGCTGGGTGGATAGGTGAGTGGTTGGTTGGATGGGTGGATGATCTGAGGGATTGATGTTTAAATGGTTGGTAGCTGGAAGGATGGATGATTGAGTAGGTGAATGGAAGGGTGGACAGGCAGTTGGATGGATGAACAGGTAGATGAATAGTCGGGTGGGTAGATAGGAAATTGGATGGATGAATGGACAGGTGGATGAAGGGATGAATACATGAATAGATGGATGGTTGGATGGATGGACAGGTGGGTGGCTGAATGGATAGAAAGATAGGTCGATGATTTGATGGGCTAATGGTTAAATGCTTGGTAGTTGGATGAATACATGATTGCATAGATAGGTGGTTGGGTGGATGATCGAATGGATGGAAAGATGCATGGTTTAAAAAAATGGATGGATAGTGGGGTTGATTTGGTGGGTAGTTGAATAAATGGGTGGATAAATGGATAGGCGGAGATTTTGATGGACTGCTGGTTGAATGTTTTGTCATTGGATGGATGGATGATTGGGTAGATGGATGTACAGATGGGCATACAGATAGACTGCCAGTGAAGGTCTTATATCCTTCATTAAAAGAGTCCTTCAGGGTGGAGATAGTTAAGATATGGACCTTACATATGGACCTTACCTACTTCATGTCTAACCCACTCATTGCCTGACACATAGTAATCAATGTGGGAATGAAGAATGTGTCCCTCCAGCTCCCTCCACTCTGAGCTGTGATTCCTCTGATGGCAAAGATGATGGCTCCTTCTCCACTCTGTTCCCCACAGGCCAAACCCCCGCTTGGCATCTGGTAAGCACCATACACAGAGCCATGTTGAGACATCACTTCACACTTACTAAGATAGCTAAAGTAAAAAAGAAAGATAATAACAATGTTTGGTGAGGACATGAAGTTGGAACCCTCATCTGATGCTATTGGATTTATAACCTGGCACAGCTCCTTTGGAAGAGTTTGGCAGTTCCTCAAAATAAGTTACCATATGACCCAGAGATGCCACTCCTAGGTACATACCGAAGGGAATTGAAACATAAGTTAGAACAAAAATTCATATGCAAATGTATATAGCAGCATTATTCATAATAGCCAAAAAGTGAAACAACCCAAATGTCCATCAATGCATGAATGGGTAAACAAAATGTGACATATCAGCACAGTGGAATATTATTCAGCCATAGAAAGGAATGATGTACTGATAAACCTTGAAAACATTATACTAAGTGAAAACAGCCAGACACAAAAGATCATACAGCGTATGATTTCATTTATTTAAAATGTCCAGAATAGGCAAATCCATAGCGACAAAAATAGATGGAGGGACGAGGAATGACTACTAATAGGTACAGGGTTTATTTTGGGGTGATGAAAATGTTCTGGAATGGGGTAGTGGTGATGATTGCACAGCACTGAATATACTGAAAACCACAGAATGTGCACTTTATAAGGGTGAATTTTATCTAACAATAAGGCTGTTTATATTTATTTAAAAACCCACCCGAGACAGGTGCTGATGTCCATGTGGATCGGAGGTGGTGATTGGACACAGGGAGGTGCCTGGCCAATTGGACTGGGAAAGCTGTGCTTCTGAGCTCCAGATCAAGAGACCCCAGGGTGGCCTCAGAGCTGGACCACAGGCCGGGCCTATGGAGCCAGAGGACTGTGGGTAAAAACAGCCACCTAGAACACCACAGCAAGAGCCAAGCCATCCTGGTGCCAGGAGATCTGAGCATGATGGCTGGAGGGTATGAGCTGGCAGGAGGCTCTTCCCCTGGATGGCAGGGGGTCTCGCATTCTCCCAAGCCTGTGATGCTTGTGCACAGAGGGAGGGCATGCGTGCTCCGGGCCAGAGCATGGGAATGAACCTCTCTGAGCCTTGGTGTCCGTGTCTGCATAATGGGAACAAGACCCCTTCCCTCCCAGGGTGTCGTGGAGATGAAATGAGACCATTTATATAGACTAAGCTGCTAAGTGCTGGGCAGATGTCCCTCCAGCTGTGAATCCAGGATAGAACTCAGCTCTGGCACCACCTCCCCCACCCTCTCTCAGCCCCAGGCATCTGTGGGCTCAAATGAGGCTAACGAACGCTGGCGATAAGATGTGCTGGGTTTTTTCCCATGCTTTCGGGGGTGCCCTTTTGCACCCGATACCTTTCTCTCCTTGTGGCTCTGACAGGAAAACCAGGCTGAGACACCTGGCTCTGTCAGGCCCCAGGTGCCAAGGGAAGACCACCACGCCCACCGAGAGACTCCCCGACACCCCTGCCTCAGGAAGCATCAGCCAGGAGGAGATGGGCCTGCAGGGAGACAGGCACTGGGCTCTGCCTGGCAGGACACAGTCCTGTGGGGGCCCGGAGGTCCTGCTCATTCCAGTCTGTCTGTCTTTCCATCCAACCATATCCCTAGGTCCAGCCTGTATTGGAAGAGTGCAGAGCACTTAGACTCAGTCAAAAAAAGGGTTTGGAGACAATAGGCCCTGATGAAGAAAGAATGAGGGTTAAACGTGAGGCCTCTGAAGCCAGCCAGATCTGGGTTCAAATCCTGTGTTACCTGGAGAAAGTTGACGAACCTCTCTGTGCTTTGGTTTCATCCTCTGTAAGATGAGGATCAGAATGGTACCAAGTCTTAGGGCTGTATGTAATATTTGTAAAGTTCTCAATACAGTCCTCAGGCCTTGAGGGTTTGCTATTATTATTATTTGCTATTATTATAGAGGGAGGATGTGTAAATGGAAATGTCCATCAAAATTGTATTCATTAATGCAACAAGTATTTATGGAGCACCTACTGTATGCTGGTGCTGGGGACCCAGCAGTGGGCAAGGCACTCAGTCCTGGCTTCTGTGGGCCCTGAGGAGTTATGGTTGTGGGGAGGGTGGTGGCTGTGGGTGCCTCCTGTACACACACTGCCCGTGAGCAAGTGAGCCTGTCTTGCCTTGTCCCCACCACACCCGGCTGTGCCCTGGACCAAACTCAGAGACTTGGTACATTCCTGGGGTGGGGCAGGGAGGGATGAAGGGGTGGAGCGGAACCCTACAAATAAGGCCTCTGGGCTCCTCCCTACTTCCTGCCGCACTTGCACTTCGCCGCCTGCCAGTGAGTAGGGTCCGGACCGGGTAGGGGGTGGGCCCAGACTGAACCACCCTCTCTCCGGGGGGTCTGACAGGCAGGCTGCCGGCCTCTGGGCCCCACGGCCTCGCGGGCGGTCCTTCTTCATCGTCCTGTCTGTCTGTCTCTCCTAGTGGCGCCCTACACCATCGTCTACTTCCCTACCCGAGGTTTGACCCTTCCTCCTTCTGGAGGGATTAGGGCAAAGGCAGGGCCCAGGCCCCACGCTCAGGCTGCTTCCTGAACTTGGGCCAGAGTCCGGAGACGGATGGAGGGGGCG